TTTAGTAAGATTATAATAATTTAAAATAAAATTCAGACGGAGATTAATAAGATATTGGAAAGATTATTAGTACGCTAACAGGAGATAATAATATTAATTACGATCCCTTGATAAACATATTATAAAGTATATTATATATTATATATTATTTATTATATAATATATATTTATATATTATATATTATAATATTAATATATATTTAATTAAAAGATAAAATTTATATTAAAAAAAATATATATTATTTTCTAATTAAATAATATAAATATAAATATATATAAATATTTATAAATTTTCTTTTATATTTTTATTTATAAATATATATTAAAATTCTATTTATAATATTTTTTTTCAATATAAAATAAATTAAAAGAACTAAATATATTTTTTATTTAATAATATTAGTTTATATTAGTATTAAAAATACATAAAAAAATGTAAATTTATAATATATTATATAAAAATATAAAAAGAAGTTTATATTTTATTAATTTTTAGTTTTATTTAATTCAATAATATTTTTTTCGTTTTTAATCCTTTTAATTTATACTTTTTGTTTTTTGGAAAAAATTATTAATAATTTTTTTAACTTAGAATAAGTTATATAATAAATAGTCTATTGAGACTTCTGCTTATTTATATATTATATATATAAGTATTTTTTTAAAAAAATTAAACCGTAATTAATAATAATATGGTATTTCTATGAGTTATGATAAATGCCCTTATCAATAAAAATAATAATTGATTGTATTAGTATATTTATATGAAAAATAATGATTTAATTATCAAATAAATATATTAATTATTATGAATAAACTTATTTAACTTTAAGTTTGTTTTCGGGATATAATAGATAGTATTTTCGTATATATAAAATAAATATTTTTCTATGTAATATGTAATAAAATAAATATTCAAATCAAGAAAAATAAATAAAATTGTATAATATGTTTTTTTTTTTAAAAAATAATAATAATAATAAAAAACATAAAAACTATTGTTTTTATAAAAATATATTTATATATATATAATTTTTTATTATATAAAAAAAATTGTATTAATATAATATATTATAGATAATTAAAAATAAAATTCTTATATTTATTATAAATAAGTATTAAATAGATCCTAATAATAATAATATATATTTAACTATTAAAGATTTATATTAGTCAATATCTCTATTATTAATAACACTAAGACGACATTTTATACTTTTTTAAAAATTGAATTAATTATAGTATATTAGAGAGAATGAACAAAAATAAACAAACTATTTAAATTAATTATTAGTAAAAAATACAAAAGTCTATTAAAATTAACTCTAAAAATAAGAACTGAAATATGATTATATAGTTTATTAGTCTTTTTTATTAAATAAGGATTTGTTATGTACTTTTAGTAGATAAATAAATTCTAGTTAATATTTTTTAGGAATAAATTATTTTAATATATAATATTAATAATAAAAAAGCTTATAATTAATAAACTAAATCAATGTATTAATTAACTAATTGAATACATTATTAAATATATAAATAGGAAATACAAAAATTATTACTTTTTAGTTAAAAACAGAGGATTAATGATATTTAATAAAAATAAAAAACTATTCTTAATCCAATATTTTCAAAATTATACTTTTTTCGATTAAATTTTTTTTTTTTTTTGGAAGACTAAAATAAACTATCTTTATTTGAATATATGATTATTATTGATAAATCTACATTTTTATATGACTTTATGTTTATTATATTTTTTTAATTAATAAATAAATATGTCTTTTTTAGGTTATTTTATATTTATGATTAATAAATTTATGTTTAATATTATTAAGATAATATTTAAGTGTTAATATAGAGTGATAATTGTTTAATTATTAATTAATATTTATTATCGAAAATGAAAAAAAATATGAATAATAGTTTGTTATAAATTACATACTATCTTATATATATTTAATAATTTATATTAAAAAAAAACCATTAAAAAATATATCTATTTATTAATATTTGTTATTATAATATATATTAATTATATTAAATAAAAAATAATATTATTATATAAATAGTTTAATTGGGAATTTTATAAAATAATGCAGATTATACTTTTTTTATTTTAAAAAAATAGTTATTAAACAAACAAAATAAGATTATAATTTATAAATATAAGAAAAAATTTCAAAAATATTATTTATAATTATTTCATAAAAAAAAATGATTTTTATTATAAAATCAAAAAAATTAATTAAAGAAAATATTAAATTTTCATACATTCAGAAAAAATAATATAATTCACAGAAGGTATAAAGTTAAATATAATGTAGTTTTTTTTATTATTTTACAATAATGTTTTAATATTTAAATAAAATTAATAAAACAAAGAAAGAAAAAATAACAAAAAACAAATATATTTAAATATATATAATTTTATTTTTTAATTATTTTCATTTTTTTTCTACGGCAGCAGCTTATTCTTCCTTTAATTTTTTTAAACGGTTCATTGTTGTTTTGGCAGTAACAGCAGTAGGTGTGCTAAATAAAAAATAAATGAATAAAATTTTAAATATATAATATATATATATATATATGTAAATATAAATATAAATTTAATTATTTATATATATTTCTTATTCATTTATATAAATTATTTTATTTTTATATATTTTTTTTAATTTATACTTTAGATCCCATGCTCCTCCTGCAATAACCTTTTTGCAAGGCTTGCATTTCCATATACCTACAGCAGTTCTTTTAACAGCGGTCTTTAATTTTTTTTATTTTTAATATATTATTAATTAAATTTATTTAATTTAATTTTTTTTTATGGGCAGTACTTTTCCACAGAATGGGCAAAGATATTTCATATGTTAAGATATTTCGAATTTCTTAACTACTTTTCTAAGGGAAGAACCATATCTGGTTCCATATTTTCTGCAAATTCCTACCTTTATAGTTCTTTTAGCCATTTTTGTATGCTTTTATTTTTATTTTTTATATTCTTTTTTTTTTTATTGTTTTTTATTATTAATTTCTTTTTTTTTTCAGATTTTTTTAGTTTTTATTATTTTCAACCCGTCAATAATTGTTTTTTTATTAGTTTTTTATAATTTGCTTATTATAAAAAAAAAAAATATATATATATATCTGATAAATAAAATAATTTTATAAAAAATTAAAAATTATAAAGAAAAAAAAACAAAAGTATTTAAAATATTTATATTTATGAAATTAAATAATTTATATATCCAAATATTTTTATATTAAAATATAAAAATCTATATATTTTTTAATAATAAAAAATGTATTCTTTATATATTTTTTTTTAAAACAAGAATGATATGAAATGATATTATCTTTTATTGATTAAAATAAATTTAAAAAAATTAAAATATTTGAAATTAATTAAATATTTTATTTAATATTTAATTATTGGGTTTAAATAATTTATTTATTATAAAAAATAAATGTAATATATTATATATTTTCTTGATTTTTTTTTTCAATATATATAATTTAAGATTTATTTTTTATTAAAAATATCGTTTTTATATAAAGTTTATTTTCATGTTTTTTTTTTCTTTTAGATAAATAAATATAATAGTTTTATGTTTTTTTTATTTTGAGTTAATAATTTTATTATTAAATATGAATTTTTAATATATATATATTTATTTTATAAAATTAGATAAAATTATAGACTACAAATTAAGAAAAAATAAAATATATATTTTTCTTAAACAATATATAAATAAAAATTATAATTAAAATTTTATAATTTACAAAAAAAATAAAAAAAATATAAATACTAAAATAACTATATATATATATATGATTTAACAAGACTACTTAATTTTTGATAAAATAAATATATAAAATCAAGATATTAATTAGAAAATTAACTAAAGAAGTTACTCAGATTGTTAATTTACATAAACGAAAATTAATATGATAGTGTATAAATATTTTATAAAATAATTATTAATATTAAATAATAATTATTAAATTGATTAAGATTAACAAAAACCATTAACTTAAAATAATTAAAATAACATTTAATAAAACTATGATAATTTATAAGAATAAACTAATAATATTTACATTAAAAATAATAATACTTAAAAAGGAAGAGTAAGATATAATTCACTTTATAATGATATTAATTTATACAGTTTATCTAATTAAAAATAACAAAATAATGAATTTTAAAAAGATAAAATTAATTTAAATGAATTATTTATAAAAGAGATTAATTTTTAAAATTTAAATGAAAAAGATAAAACATTTTTATATAATAACGATAAATATTAGGCAAAATTAAATTTCTAAAAAAATAATATTTCAAATAGTAATTACATATAGAATTTGAATAATAATTAATCCCTTTATAGTGAAATAATTTAAAAAAAAATTATGGGTTGTTCGCCTAAATTAAATTATGTAAATTTACTTAAAAAAATGACCATTAAAATGAAAAACTTAGATAATAACTTTTCACTATAAGAAATATAGACAAAATATATAATTAAATATAAAATAAATCTAATTATAAAACCCAGTATTCTGCTCAAAAAGAAAAAATACTTAAAATAGAAAAAGTAATATTCCGCCATTACCTAAAAGTTATTAAAAAGTATCATATTCCAAATAAAATCTATAATTATAAAATTAAGACATATAAATTAATAAAAATCTAATTAATATACCTTTGATAAAAATAATAGACAATCAAGGGTTTGAGTTTTAAGAAAAAACTAAAGAATCATAGAAAAATATAGATTATAGTAATATAAATATAGCTATTAAAATGTAAGTACTAATAGTACTAATATAACTTTAAATAATGTATAGCCTTATAATTATATATAATATAGTCCTTTAAAAGATAATATTCTATTCAATAATCCTTTTAAAAAAGAAAACTTTTAAATTGGGAAACAACTAGGAAATGGAAAATTTGGATAGGTTTATATTGCTAAGTAAAAAAATAAATATATAAATATATATATAAATTATTATATATATATATAAATATTTAAATTATATTATATATAAAATAAGAGATGTATAAAATGGAATTATTGTGGCTATCAAAAAAATAAATAAATATAATTTAATACGTTTAAAAATAGAAGATTATTTATAAAATGAAATAAAATTATAAAGCTATTTAAAACATGTTAATATTATTTAATTATATGGTTTTTATTATGATGATTAAAATATATATTTAGTATAAGAATATGCTCATAACGGATCTTTATAATTAGACTTAGACAAGAAATTTAAATATACTGATCTCTAAGCAATAATATGTGTAAAATAAATACTAAATGCTCTATTATTTATGCATAGAAATCATATATTATATAGAGATTTAAAATCTGAGAATATTCTTCTTTCTTTTGGGATTATAAAAATAACTGATTTCGGATGCAGTGTATATAATTATTAATAATAAAGGCGAACATTTTGTGGTACTGTTGATTATATGAGCCCAGAAATAGCTTAAGGATAATATTATGGATAATCAGTAGACATGTGGAGTTTAGGTGTTTTAACTTATTATATTTTAACAGGAATCCAACCATTTTAACAATCAACTAAAAATGATACTTTATAATGTATTATTAATGTAAGTTTTATTTATTTTTTTAGTATTTTCTTTTATATATATATATATTTTTAGAAATAAAATATTAGTTTTCCTAGTTATGTTTCATGTTTAGCTTAAGATTTTATTCAAAAACTACTTGTAAAAGATCCTGAATTTAGAATGAATATTGAAGAGGCTGTTAATCATGAATGGATTAATTAAAATATTAATTATTATATATAGGAAAATTGGAGTATGGATATAACTTAATAAACAATGTAGTTAGTTAAGTGAAAGAGTCTCATTTATATATATATATATTTTTTTTTTTGGTGTATTTTTTTATTTATTAAAAAAATAAAAATATTTTTAGACCTAGAAAATAATTTTTTTTTTTTTTTTAAAAAAAAAATTTAAAAAATTAATTTTTTTTTTAAAAAAAATAAATAAATACATTATAATATGTAATATATATAGATTAATCATAAAAAATAGTTTTTTTTTTCAGAATTATAATATCCCTTATTTAATATACACTAGATTATATATATGTTATCCTTTCAGATTTTAGAGAAGAGAAATTTCGATATTTTTTAATTGGAATATTAGTTCTTCACCTATTAATAGTAATTTTATTTTGGATAAGAATAATAGGATATATTGAATTAAAATAAACTAATAAGTATTAATATTAAGGTTTAAGACACTTTTTTGGAATTAATATTAAGAAAAATATTTAAAAAGGAATTTTTTATGGATTACTTTAAATTATTAATATTTTAGCTTTATATTTATATTATAAAATATATAAAGATTAAAATATCATATTGACATAGTAGTTATATATTAATTTATTTATTTTTAAATAACAAATAGGGAATTGATAAACTTATTAAAAGCTAAAAAATAGCAAGAATAATTAAACTCTGATAAAGATAAAGTATTTCAGATATAAAATAATCAAAATTAAGATAGTGATAGTAAATTAATACCTAATAATTTAAATTATAATAATAATAATGAGAATAATATAATAAATAATGATAATAAAATATATAATACTGAAAACAATATATAAGATTATCAAAGAAATTTGAATTTTTTTTAACTTAAGAATGATTACAAAGAAAAAGAGAAAAAAAACAGTTTAAATTCTTTATTTGAAAATATTCTTATTTAAAATTAAGAAAATATGTAAAATACATAAAATAGCATTTTTAATTCAAAATTATTTTAAAATAAATATAATATTACGTAAATTAACTAAAATCAAATTTAAAATAAATTAAAAACTTAAATTGCTATTGAATTAAATTCAAAATATGGCTTTAATAAGGTTTTTAATGAGAATATTTTTTCTGTTTTTTATGAATTAGGAGAAATATTAGACTTAATTTTTAAATTAATGCCTTCTTTTATCATTTAATTGTGTAATAATATATTAATAAGTAATTGGATATAAACATCGTTTACTTTATTATATTTTATCATTTGTATTATTAAAATTATTATTGTTTTGAGAAACTTATTAAAGTAAATGACTTCCTAATAATTAATTAAAGATTTTTTTGATATCTAAGATTATGTATAATAAAAAAGTTAAATAGAAAATTAAAAAATGAAACAAATTCCAAATTTTATCCGAATTTTTAATATAGATACCTTATAAAAAGTAAGCTAATTAGATAGTATTTCGGCAGAAAATATAAAAGAATTAACTATTGAGATTAGAAATAAAAAATAAGAATAAAATCTTATAAAAGAATATATTAACAATGCTTTATTTCTATTTTAAAAATATAAAAAAAATAAGCGTTAATTTAGAGTTATATATATATATATAAATATTTTTATATATATATTATTTTTTTTTTTAAGTATAATTAATTTGGTGACAAAAAATAT